TCCTTCTTCACTTTCTCCCACCCTGTTTCTTCCTTTTTTCCTCCCTCCCTCCCTTTTTCTTCCTTCCTCCCCCTTCCTGTTTTTCCTTCTTTCCCTCCCCCTCTCCATATATCCTTCTTCCTCTTTCCCCATCACCTTCTCCCTCTCCTTCTTCACTTTCTCCCACCCTGTTTCTTCCTTTTTTCCTCCCTCCCTCCCTTTTTCTTCCTTCCTCCCCCTTCCTGTTTTTCCTTCTTTCCCTCCCCCCTCTCCATATATCCTTCTTCCTCTTTCCCCATCACCTTCTCCCTCTCCTTCACTTTCTCCCTCCCTGTTTCTTCCTTTTTTCCTCCCTCCCTCCCTTTTTCTTTCTTCCTCCTCCTTCCTGTTTTTCCTTCTTTCCCTCCCCCCTCTCCATATATCCTTCTTCCTCTTTCCCCATCACCTTCTCCCTCTCCTTCACTTTCTCCCTCCCTGTTTCTTCCTTTTTTCCTCCCTCCCTCCCTTTTTCTTCCTTCCTCCTCCTTCCTGTTTTTCCTTCTTTCCCTCCCCCCTCTCCATATATCCTCTTCTTCCTCTTTCCCCATCCCCTTCTCCCTCCTTCTTCACTTTCTCCCTCCCTGTTCCTTTTTTCCTCCTTCCTTCCATTTTTCTTCCTTCCTCCCAGTTTTTCCTTTTTTCCTTCCCCCCCCACTCTCTCCATTTATCCTCCTTCTTCTTCTTCCCCATCACCTTCTCCCTCTCCTTCACTTTCTCCCTCCCTGTTCCTTCCTTTTTTCCTCCCTCCTTCCATTTTTCTTTCTTCCTTCCCCCTCTCCATTTATCCTTCCTCTTCTTCTTCCCCTTCCCCATCACCTTCTCCCTCTCCTTCACTCCCTCCCTCCCTTCTTCCTCCCTTCCTTCCTCCCTCCATCCTCCCTCCCTCCTTCCCTGTTCGTTCCTCCCTCCATTCTCTCATCTTCCTCCCTCCCTCTGATTTCTCCTGGAAGCTTCTTGCCATCTTACCCGTGGACCCCTTCCCTCCTCCGCAGGGCCCCCTGGCCTCCACCTGAAGTACCTGGTGGGCGTGGCCTCCCTGAAACCAGGTGAGCCGCGCTGGTTCCTTCGCTACCTGGCCCAGCAGGCCCTGCAGATCGACGTCTGGGACGGGGACTCCCTCCTCCTGCTGGGCTCTGCCGCCGTGAAGCTGAAGGTAGGCGGGGAAACCCTTCCAGAGCAGTCCTCGAGTTACGACCGGAGGGCATGTCTTCCCTTTGGGGAAAAAAAAAAGTCCGTTTTCCACACCGAGGACCGTCGCAGCTCACGGGGATCACAATTCACAGGCTTGGGCCACCGGCTCATATTTATGACGGTCGCCGTTGTCCCTTTTGCAACCTTCTGGCTGGCAAAGTCAGATCCACTTAACGACCACGTGGCTCGCTTAACCAACGGCAGTGATTCCCTTAACAGCTTGGGCAAAGAAGGTCGTAAAGCGGGGCAAAACTCACTTAACAAATCTCCCCCACATAGCAACGGAAATTTTGAGCTCCACTGCGGCCGTAAGTCGAGGAACTCTGCCCATATTTCCAGGGTGGGGGCCACAGAGATAGAGAGATGGGGTCCACCCCCTCCTCCCCCCATTCAGACATGACCCACCACAGCTGAGCTCTCTCACTCTCTCTCTCTCTCTCTCTGCAGCATCTCCTGCGCCAAGGACGGACGGGGGTCCAGATCTACCACGAGTTGGAGGTCCTGACTGTGGAGTACAAACCAGATGCGACCGTGCTGAGTGGGGAGGCCTTCCGCCCTTGGGGGGTCAAGCCCATCGGGGTCCACGCGGTTGTGAGGGGTCAGCTTCACCTCCGCCTGGCGAACATTGGTGAGTCCCGCTTCTAACTTCTGTCTGTTCACCTTCCTCAACGTGGAGAAGTTGAGGAACCCCAAGGAACCTCAGTTCCTGGTCTCAGGAGGATTGGCGTCCTAATTGTGGAGACTTCTACTCTTTAGTCAATGTGGAGAAGTTGAGGAACCCCAAGGAACCTCAGTTCCTGGTCTCAGGAGGATTGGCGTCCTAATTGTGGAGACTTCTACTCTTTAGTCAATGTGGAGAAGTTGAGGAACCCCAAGGAACCAGAGTTCCTGGTCTCAGAGGATTTGAGACCTGTTTGAGAAGACTTCTACTCCTTAGTTAACCTGGAGAAGTTGAGGAACCCCAAGGAACCTCAGTTCCTGGTCTCAGGAGGATTGGCGTCCTAATTGTGGAGACTTCTACTCTTTAGTCAATGTGGAGAAGTTGAGGAACCCCAAGGAACCAGGCTTCCTTGGGGTTCCTCAACTTCTCCAC